GGACGCAAAAGAAAGATCAACGGGGACGACACTCGGAGATCAATAAGGAGAAGATTGACATCCATGAACACCTCTAACTTGGGATCAATTTTGTCAAAAACGGATGACGGAGTTTCAAGCATCGAAAACTCAAAGATAAGTTAAAACCTTCTATAAATTTTTTTTCTCTTTTGTTCCGAAATGTTATGCATAAGTACGAAGTTCTATGTTTTGACGAAAGTCAATATGTCTCGGTTGAGACTTAGTTTTGTTTTACTTTATTTAGCTAAGGCAAAAGTATTATTTTCTTTAAGTGTAAAAGCTAAAAACAAGCATTTTCTGTTGGTCGAAAGACTAATTCTGTTATGTTAAAGCCAAAATTTGGCCGGAGATAAAAATAACTTCGTATTCTTGTATTAATAAGAATTTTAGTTTCAGTGCCGCCAGCTTGGCGAAGAATGAGTAAAGTAAAAATTTATTTTCTCTTATTCATTTTATGGTAAATTGTAAAAAGCATATGTATTAAAACTTTTGTAAATGTATGTAAATACTTGAATGTTATGTAAAAGTAGAATTTAGTCTAGAAGCATAAAATTGTAGATGCTAAAAGTGAATGCTTAAAAGCAATGAAGTCAAAATTTAAGTATTAAATTGTAGATAAAGTCATGCTTTAGAGCGAAAGCCTGCATGTTTAAAGATGAATGAGGGGGAAGTTAGAATGAATGTGTTTTGTAGGGTTCTCCACCTACATTTGAATTTTTAAGAATATTAAAGTAGCTCATTGAGTTGTAGAATGTCGAGTAAGGTGTGTCTATTTGGTTGTTGAATTCTAACAAATCATGGTGGTTAGGGGAAGTGTTGTAAGACTAAAACACGAATATTCCCGTTTGACACCACACACGGTGGAGGAGAGCCAGGGTAAAGTTAAATTAATGCTTGAAAAATTGAATGAATGTGAAGTAAGCAATAACTAAGAAAAACGAATCGTTTTAAAAACAAAAATTTATTGTGTCAAGAAAGTGTAAATTATAATGTATGTAGAAAGATACTGATACTTATTCCTTCCAGATGCTGGAAGGAAAGACCAAGATTGATTGATGAAGTCCAGGAAAAGTTGCTGTAAGAAGAGAAAGCTTTGTAACGAATAACAGAATTTATATATAATTGTTACATAAGATTTTTTTTGTGTAAACGAGGCTTTCGCCAGTTAGTTCAGAATTAGATAAACTTACAACAGGTCGTTTGTAGGACCTGCTTCCAAGTTTTCCAAATTCTGGCAGCGGCAAATGTAGGGTTTATATTTATTTTAACTAACATTTATTTTAAGTTTAAACTATCTTTCCTGTCAAGCCTTACTTTCCCCTGGAACTGCCAATGCCAGAATATGTAAATTTTGAGTAGAACGCGCAAGCATTCAAATTATCAGCGGAAGTAGTATGATTTAAATAGAAGGAAACGAGTTCGGTGAGAGAGTTATTCTTACTTAGCGAGCGCGGAGGGAGGTAGTTAGAAATCGAGAGAATTGAAGAACCCCGCGTTGCGGCCTATGTGCTTGGCGGGAAGTAGTTGCAATTGTTCCAGTGAGCTTCAAGTCTGCTGAATTAGCAGCGGTATTGTAAAACGCGGTGAGTTAGTTATTTTAGAGAGCCTCGTAGTTAGAATATTGTCTTTACTTTCTTTTCAGGTTATTATTTTTATTTGACTGCCGAGTTGGCACAGTTTGTAAGCGTCAAGAGAACGCAATTGTAATTATTACGTTGAATAAAAAGGGACTTAAACCCTTTACAAGACTCTGTGGTTTATACAAGCTTTCACAGTCACCCTTGGTTGCGTGCAAGTTGTAGGCGCGCAACGTTATAGCCTTCAATATTTTTGACAGGATTTTCAATTAATCTATCACAGAAAATTAAGCTTTTATATAAAATTGTTTATAATTTGACTGAGTTTTCGATTCGTTTATCTATGTGTGAAATTTTTCTATTCGCATTTGTGTAAATTTCTGTAGCTTGTATTTTCTGCTCATTAGTCGGTTTGTACTTTATTTGTTGGCTTTCTGCTCCTTTGTCCTGAAGTCAATTTTGCAATATTTGACTTAATTTTAGCTCTGGAAGATCACTATAGATTTGACCATTTCAAACTAACTGAAGTTAACAGATGTCTACATTAAGCGTCTGGTTGCTCTCTAATAGTTCAAATTGAATTACATTTTTTATATTCAACCATATGTAGAGCCAAATCTTTCTTTCGAAGCAATCCTGATTTTGTTACGAAACATGCCTTCACAAATAGATAACATTAATATAAAATAGAAGTAGTAATTTTATTGCAGAAAAAATATTATTTATTTTCGCAAATGCGTTTATTTTCGTGAATTTTAAGAATTGTTTTCTCAGATTTCACGAAAATCGAGTTCTATCAAGGTACTTTTCTTATAATTTTCTAATTTCTTTTATTCTGTATAATTTTTATAGCTAAATAATGGTGATTTTTTTTCGCTAGAATAAGCGTTAAAAATATACAGCAAAGTAATTTTGTGACAGTTTATTTTAGTTTCACTAACAATTTAGCTTGACCCTGTGTTCTTCTCCTTTTGATTCGCATATGTTTAGTCTTATCAGAAGCAAAATACAAATTAACTATACAAATTAAAGAATGTGCAATAGAGTTCAAAAGCTGGTAAAATTCATCTGCAGCATATGTTTGATTGCATGATAAGCAGTCTTTCTTTTATTGTGAGTGCTAGCACCGATGTTATATTAGAAAACGTATTAGCCAGAGGTTGTTTCGATCTCGTTACTGTCTGAAATTAGTAAGTTACGTTATACTGGCCCACCAGCGGCCGAGCGGTAAAGACGCTGAACACTGGTAGTTCGGTCCGAGGTTCAAATCCCGCGAACGGGCTGGCTGCATGGGCGCTTTCGTGGTTTTCCCCATGTGTAACGTGTATACGAGCCAGTTTCCCTTAGAAAGTCCTCCACGAAAGGCATCCCTCCCCTTAGGCAGATAGCCCTAGTGTGCTTTGCCATAATTAAAAAAAACACCAATACGTTATACTGTGTTTAGCGGCGAGTACTTTGTTTTAGAGATTTTCTTTTGTTGTCGGTACATTTCAAGACATGTTGCCTAATTCTTTATACTTGTCATTGATTTTTAATCTTTCCACTGTTTTTGTAAATTCGCATCTTGGTCGAAACCCAGCAGGAATGATCAAATAAATTTTTAAATTTTGATATGCGATTATTTCAGTTGATTTTAGTCGTGTTAAAAACTTGCTGACAGATAGGAACTGAGTAAAATCATATTAGGTAGATGTACTTTAAGAATATTTTAAATACTAGTACTATAAAATTCAAACTAGAATAGAAACCACATGCCCTCACGTTTGCAAGCGTATTTCCTTTCAAATGTGTATATTACGTCTCATAATTTTTACAGAAATAATAATAATATTTCAATTGACATGAAACAGAAATATTTAATAAACTTATGCGCTAGAAACCCATACCCTTCTGAAATTTAAACTAAAATTTAGTTGTAATGTTGTGCACTTACTTTGATATTCCTGGCTTGTTATGCCATCTATAAAAGAGCTGGCTGAATCCGTGGATTCGGTTTGCAGTTTCATATCTTCTAGTATTAAGTCTTTCACCTCAAAATCATCACTCCAGTTCTCAGATAAAAATTCATCTTCTGAGTTTAATGAATCGACATTTGTTAGAGGCTGCTTGCCTTCATCTGTGCAATGTGTCTCCTCAGAAAGTGCTCTTTTAGATGCTAAATTATATTTTAATTTTGATAACAATCTGCTTTGAGGCTGCTCTTCGCCTAAGTTAGACAAATCCTTGACGAACACTTGTTTAGATATCGAATCTTCTGTTAATTTTGAAGAAATCTGGATTTGCGAATATTCCTCATTTGAAATAGATGACTCCTGATGGCCTGCATTTGCAGATTCGAAATTCTCGAATGACTCAGATGGATTATCATTCTTAGAACACTCTGTGCCTATGATAGATGTTTTTTCACAAAATACTTGTCTAGAAGTATGCTGTTCTTTGGAATTTGAAGAACGATTATTTCGAAAAGGTCCATGATTTGAGATAGATGTATCCCCAAGAAGTGAATATATATGTGCGGGATTCTCTTCCTTCTTTGATGAATTACTAATTCGTAACTTCTCCTCAGCAGATATAGATGAATTACCATTTTGCGAATTCTGCGTTTGATGACGAGATTTGGCACAGCTTCTGCAGATTGCTTTCTTTTCCAGTTCACGTACCATTGCATCAAGTTGATTCACTTGTAATCGAAGATTTTTTATATACTTCTCAAATTCATTAATGGAATCATTATTTTTTTGGCAGGAGTTTGTTTTATCTCCATCTACGGTCGCCGTGGCCGAAAATCCAGGCAATAAATAATTATCTGGGCAAATGGTATCTGTAGAAAGGTCATTTTCTTTGCCTTTAGCTGATGATGGTAAATGTGGCTGTTGAAAATCACCAGTAGCGCCTTTTATTTCAGTTCTAGAAGCCAATTTAAATTCAGCTGAGAGAGATTTTTGAGACTGATTGAAATGAACTACTTTTTCTGCAAAATTCTCGCAGTCGAATTTCAAACCACAAGCAGTTTTAATGTAGCTTTTTACATCATTTATTGCTTCAGTCTTATTGGATAAAACGCATTTTGGAATAACTTTAGATATTTCTTGTGTATTTTCTTCCGTGCAGGTGGAGGATTCTTCAGTTAGTGTCGTTTCATCACGAAGATCAAAAGATTTCTCGTGCCATTTATTTGTTTGTGCATCTAGCTTTGACTTTTTCTCGTTTTGGATTATACAATGACGTTTCGTTAGTTTTTTAGCTCTGCGTTTATGCCATGGAATATGCTTAGCTTTCATTCCTTTCAGTTTTTGTTTCCTTATGTTCTGTGATACCTTTTGAATATTGTTTTTGTTAAGAAAGGAAAGTTTGCAATTATTCTTTGCCTCTCTACATTTAGAAGAAAGATGTGGATCTTTCTCAAGACTGTTTAGGCGATACAATTTTTATTTTACTACTTGATATTTTCAGCTGCTGTTGGAGTTTGGATGGTGTGCAGCTATTTACTGACTCGTCGTTACCATAACCTTTCAAATTATTGCTCTGATAAATTTCTTGGTCATGTAAGCAAATATCAATACTAGCAGAAATTTTCTCAGAGCTTTCTTCCTTCGCAAGTGACTGGAAATCTGAAACGGCTGCTCGATAACTGGTTGAAATTTCCATAGAATCAAAGAGATCCGAATCTTCTGTCCCAATAGGAGGTTTCGTTTCAAAGACTTCGGGACAATAGTTTTCTGTTTCAAGACCAATATCTGAATGACTATCCCTGGAACTATGTTCATAGTCAAAATCTTCAGTAGTTTGAGAATTTCTCTTATGGGAGCATTCAGGTTCATCTGAGCCGTTGTCATCATCACTTCTGTTAACGATTACTATTTCTTCAACTGCAATATAGTAAACACAACGTTACAGGCACTTTAAGAATTCATAAATATGCATACATTTAGCAAGCAGAGAAGAATTTTGATACATTTGCTTCTTTTATACGAGCAAGTTAAAACTTGCTCCTATAAAAGAAGCGACAGATTATTTTTCCGCTTCTCTCATGCAAAAAGCTTTATTTGAAAAATTTCAGGAAATTTAAATGGTTTTCATTGATTAATTTAAGTGAAGCGCGTATTACGCAACGTAAACATTAGAATTCTTATACTACCTTTATTTGGATAACCGATAATATCAGAGATATGCTTCCAGCTGCAACACATTTTGAATGATTCAAATACACTCATGTCCATAAATTAAGGATAATGAAAAATCAGGCAAAGGAAGAGTTAGAAGCAAAACAAATTTGAGTTATTTGTAAAGCTTATTTATTTAACAAAAGGTAAAGAGCAAAAAAAAAGATGCTATATGTTTGATATTATTAAAAAAAATAGCGATTTTTTCTCCCTGGAGCAAATTACAAAAAAAACCTATTTTTAAAAAACCAATATTACATGGTTGGTATGATCGTTAATACATTGTATGTCACCCAGACGATGCAATCAGTCCGTACAACGCCTAGGCATGCTGAGTATCAAATTATCGATCTGATCTTGGAGGATATTACACCACTCAAAAAGCAATGCTCTCCGAAGTTACGGTTGACATGTAGGAAGAGGTTGTCGGGCTGCAACTCGTCGGCCAAGTATGTCCCACACGTGCTCTACTGGATTCAAGTCCGTTGAGAATGCTGGTCAGTCCATACGGGTGATATCCTCCGATTGAAGGCATTCGCTTACGATGTTTGCACGGTGAGGACGGGCGTTGCCATCCATTAACACAAATTGTGCGCCCATGGCGCCCCGAAACAAACTTACATGTTGTTCCAGAATTACGTCCCGATAGATTTGGCTTGTCATGGTTCCAATTTGAACATGCAGGTCAGTTCTGGAACCCAGAATAATTCCACCCCAAACGAGCCCTCCTGCACCACCGTAACGGTGTCGTTCAATGATGTTTTCTTGGTAGTAACGGGTACCTGGAGCTCTCCATATGAAAGTCCGGCGAGAATCAGACTGCAAGCTAAACCTGGACTCGTCGGAAAACATCACACAAGCCCACTGTTGCGGTGTCCACAATACATGCTCTCTACTCCAGGCTAACCGCTGACGACAGTGAGTTGCAATATGTGGAACGCATCTGACAGATCTATGAGCATATAGACCAATCTGCCCTAAGCGTCTGTACACGGTCTGCCTTGAAATTGTCGTACCAGCGGCTGAAGAGAGCTGACGAGACAGGTCTGAGGCTGTGCTCCGCCTGTTTCTTTTGGCAGTAACTGCCAAATACCAGTCCTCATTCGGCGTTGTAACTCTGGGACGATCTGTGCTGTAACGTCTACTTACATTATCGTCATCTTGAAATAGTTGCCAAAGCCTGGAGGTGACACTCTGGGCAATTTAAGTTCTGATACTTCCAGTTGGGTACGCCCACATTCCAGACGGCCGATAATTCTACCACGTAAAAAATCATCCAAATGAGTCCTTTGTGTCATAACTATTCGGTTATTGCACTGAAATGCTTATAAAGCGCCTGCGAACAACTTTACTTCTTTGCTTGTATTCCTTATATATCACTCTCTTACACTCTCGTCATTGTGACGTACCATCGGTGTCATCTGGTTACTTCCTGAAATTTGCATATGATTCTTGAAGATGTGTGTACTGATTTTACAGGTGATATATTTATTTTAGAGTTCGATTTCCGTGTGACTCCGAAGAGTGTAAAACGTTTTCTAAAAAGGGCGAAATCTAACGCTTTAAACCTTTTTTCTGCCCTTATAATTGTACACAGTAAAATTTTATACTTACAGAATATAAAATGCAAACGGTTCGGCTCCCATGCCGAGATATATAAATTAAAATGGTTAAATTTTGATTTTATTTTAAGATATTTTAATTTTAATTTTTTAAATCGGAGAGAAGTTTAAATTTAGAATTTGGGAATTTTGTATTCTTTTTCTCTTTTTTCTTGAGAAATAAGTTAAAATTACATTACAATAGTTCGATATTGAACTCTTCTTCGTTCAAGTTCATTCAGCGTTTCTCCTTTCAATTCCATCAGGAAACCTTTGTAAATTAATGGATTACTGTAATTTTAAATTATAGGAAGTGTGTTACTTCCTTTAATTTAAAATTTTTAACTTTATATATAATTAAATCATTTTCACAAACATGTTTTATAAGTAATTAAATGTTAAAAATGGCTTTAATATATTCACTAATATTCTCTATGTATTTTCGTCTTTAATATCAGGGTCTAATAGTCATACGAAAAATTTCTTCGGCTTAAAATTATTCTTTACTATTAGTTTATGCAAATGATAGTATGAATTGGCTGCGATTGTTTTCAGAACACTAATTATGTAAACTGTTGTTCAAAAATGTATATTGATCAAAGCGTTCTACTGCGGTGCGCACAGTTATTCTCTTCAAGTAGTAATTTGTTACTTTATTAATATCAGGAACCCTTTTCTAAACTGGAACTTTATTTTTAGTTATGTACATATTTAAATGTTTCACTGTATAATTTGTGCTCGAAAGCTAAATATAATCTCACATTTTAAAACTAAACATGTCTGTCAATTTTTTACATGTGGGAGCCTAAACTTTTGCGTTTTATTATTTAAAATGAGTATGAAATTTTACTACCAAATCTACAGGAATCAGGTTAGATTTCGTAATTTTTACAGAATCGATTTTTTTACAAATTTAAAAATACGATGAATATTTTCCATACTTGAAATGGTAGCATGTTAAAATATGATTAAAAATTTTTAATTTTAATGTTTCAGGCTTTTAAATCAGTGTCAACGACGTATTAAATTTTGAACACAATTATGAGACAACATATATTAGATGTGAGCATTAAATATGTTTTTGGAACTATTCTAAATACGACGAAAATAAAGTCATTACGAAGACAAGTTATCGTTATGAAGCAATTAAATGCACTAGCCTCAATCAATATTTTGTATCTGTTTCACTTTTGTGTCGAATCACTTTAAAAAAAATAATGCTTCAACAAAATGTTATCGCCCTGAATTATTTGTAAAGAAATTAACAAATACAAAAAACAGCGAATACAAAAGAAAATGTATCACAATACTTAACACTCTGTCGGGAATTCTAAAGATATGCCGGTCCTCAGGAGAAACTGCGCACAGCGGTGAAAGCTCAGAAGGTCCCAAGAGAAGAACTTATCTCTGCACTTAAGTAGGTTATTGTTAGTGCTGTGGCATTCTACTTGGCTTTGGGGAAGGAAATTCATTCCAACAAAAATACATATGTACGCGCATTTCAGATGTTTGAGTGAAAGAGGTTTTGGCCTTTACTGGTGAGAAAGAGTTAAAATTACATTGATATCTATGCGTTCTGATAAGAACAGATGATTCCCAGTGACAATACATATCTTGCAGTAAGTCCAAGACATTGAGGTCAAGAAGTGGGGCTGATATATCTAAAAAATATCTGCTCTTAACGATATACCAGCCTTTGCGTTTTATGGCTCTCGGCAGGCTGTTGTTGTTCAATGTCCTTGAGCGCTACAAGTATGTAGTTCAAGTTGACTTGAATAGAACTCCTAAAAAGGTCTTCACAGCTGGAAAGAAATATTCTAACGCCAGTTTCAGAAACAAAGAGTTTATCTTTGAAGGAGAAAAATGGTAGAGGTTCAGGTAAAAGTATGAGAGACACCAGCGATATACCATGGGTCATCTGGTGCTGCCTCCCATACTAACTCAAAAAAAAAAGGATGCTTGCTTTATAAGAATTTACAGACAAAGGTTGAGGAAATGGGCAACTGAAACTTTTCAAATGATATAGAGCCGCGGTTCGCAACCTTTTGACTAACGCGTACCATCTAAACAAAAATTGAAAAACCTTTGGTACCATCACTACAAAGTACTACTACACCACCACTCTTGAGATCGCATAAATTTTAATTTTAAGCTCAGATCGCATAAATTTACGAGTGTTAGATAAAAAACTCAATCAGGATGTTGGGATTTTAATTTTTGAATTTAATACTTAAAAATACTTTGCTTACCACCTATTTTTCTCTTGCGTACCACCAGTGGTTTGTGCACCACCGGTTGAGAACCCTTGATACAGAGTTTACATGTTTACCTATTATAGTACATCGTGCAATCCCACTGTACACCTACATCCTCAATCCAGTATTTATTAAAAACTAGCAGCTACGCGGCCAGCCTTCGTCTGGCTTTTAAATATACCGGGAAAATGCTTGAAGAGAACATCAGACGTGAATGCGCAGAATTTTACTCTGCAACAACTTCATAAAAAATTAATTATCCTTATCAATAAATTAACTAACTTCCTGTTCCCTTCTCTCAACAAACGTGCAGTTTCCAAGAGAAACATTAAATTTAAAAACTGCACAGAATTATTGCTCATTTTTTTTTAAATGCAACAGTGCTGATTTTCAACAGTCAGCAGTCCAGTATACAATTTAATGAAAAACTGTTGCCAAAACCACATTTCTAAAAGAATGAAACTATTCAAAATGATGCGATAAAATCGAAAAAATAAAATTAAAAAAAATTTGATTCGAATTTTGAAAAAAATCGCTTCGAGGGGCACTGGCTCTTGTCTAGATTCACCTATATACCAAATTTCGTAGCCCTGGGTCTATTAGCTTACGCACAGCACGAACGAAAACACAGACTCTTTCTTTTATTTTATGTAGAGATAATAAAAGATCTAGGACATACAGAAATTACAATAGAGTCCCAATAAATTTGAAATTCACAAATTAAAGTGAACATCCGGTTTGGTGTAACAAAAATAACAGAAAATCATAATTAGTACACAGATAAACATAACGAGATAACTATAATAAATCTTGGAAGCACAATGTTATTATGAACTGTCACAATCATTTTATATACATTCACAGGATATTAAAATTCATTAAATTTATGCAGCATGAGAACTTATACTTGACAAAGATATAAGGCGTAGGCCGTAGGTAGAGAGAGACAAATGGTAGGAAATATTTGGGTTTTGCCGGACGGTGAACTAGATATGTACGTCGTATATCTTGCCGTTACAACGCTACTTCTCCCGCTGGCGTGTCGCTTAATGCGTCCTGGCAATTGCCAATTGTTCTAAATCTATGATCTGTATAAAATTATGGGGTGCATTTCATTGTGTATAATGATGGTGCGCAAAGAAAAAGGATATATGTACTAAGAATTAATTATCAAAGAATAAAATTTGTGAGTGGAACTTACGGCTACGTCTCTCTTCGAGTGCCATCTTTCTAACTACATAGTAAAGCCCATCCAAGTTATTACAATGAAAGAAACCATCCGTTGCAGCTTTCTCTAAGTCGTCCTGTCACATGTATGTATATTTTAATCTTAAATTTTTTTAGCATACTTTCGTGAAGTCATGTTTGGGATCTTTCAAACTCTTTTAGCATTCACTTTCAAGTATTTCAATATATTGGGAGTCATGAGCAGGGGAAAATAACTACAGCAAATTTTATTCAACTTTCTAATAATTTAAATTTTTTACCTTTATTTTTCCAGATTTCATCAGCTTTAGAAATTATTGAACCAGACCCTAAGAAAACATGCTGTTTTGCTTCTTCAGCTGAAGATCTTTGGAATGGATCCACTTTCAAGAACATATGGATGAAATTCAAAGCTAATGCTGGTTCACATTCTTTAGCATTAATTCCAGGTAGAGCTTTGAACAACTTTGCTGTAAATTCGTCCTCCTAAGTAAATGAATCACAGTAAATATAAATGCACATTTTATGATACAAATATTGTTGGGGGAAACTACCGGAGTTTTCATTAAAGAAACTGATGCGCATATGATAGCAAATCCATAGCGTAAATATAATTTTCAGCCAATTTACACAATTTGTTTTTTGTCGGTGGCGCTGGTGTAAGCTTGAAGATTTGCAATGAGAAAACTTGAGTGAAATAGTTCAATGGACATACGTTTAAAATCATGTTAGATTAATCTTTACAAATATTCCTGCAGTTGTAAGTTGTGTGAATAGGTAATAAAAATTATTTATAAAGAATTTGTTAATGACATTTTAAAATAATCATCCTGCCAAGGTATAACGTATCCCTTTTATATTTTAATAGGTAACAAAGTTATGCTCAGTTTCCTTACAATTTTTAATTTACTCACCTGAAGCATATCAAACAAAATAGGGTAAACTTCTTTGAACCAACATTTGCAGTCCATGATTGTTATAGCCAAAGACATATGAGTGAAAATTTCCACCACCATAACTCCATATCCCCACATGTCATATGCTATTCCGTTTAATGATATACTTTTTCCTAATGAAATACATGCTTCTGGAGGACGATAGATGTACGGAAGACCCAAATCATATCTAAGAGAAAAAGGTTAAGTATTAAGACTATATACCGGTTTACAGAGTTTTTACAAAATAATTTGTCATTCAGGTTGATTCATTTGTCTATAAGAAAAAGCCTTCATTTATTGTTTTGTTTGATATCTTTTAGTTCCTCTTTTATGAAAATATATATTTCATTTTAAATGCCTTAAAAATAATTAAGGCATACTAAATTTCAGCCTTAAGTAGACCACCTAATTTCGCTTGTACGTGAAATTCCTATTTTGAAAGTTTTTTTTTTCTGCGTTTCCTTTTTCCTGGTAATTTAAATAATAATATGCATTTAATGATTATATTTTAAAGTCTTTCCTTAAAGCAAATAATTACGAATATTATTAAAAAAGTTGGTCATAATTATTTTCGATACAAAATAAGAAACGAATAAATGATTAAGGGTTCGGCCTACATTTGAACCTTATGTGAGCTGTTATCTGGCAGTCTTGGATTGAATGTAGCGTTGGCGCATGCTTTCCTGCAGGATTTCTTACCAATCTCTTTGCAGTCCGCGATATCCTGGGATGTATCGGGCATCTACTCGTTAAGACCCTAAATGTACTCTTTTAAGAAGAGAAATGGCGAGTAGATGAAGAACATGGGACTGAGAAGAGTATGAGACCGAGCATTATCCTGTTGAAATGTAAGCCTCGAAAAGGAAGGGATCACAGCAAGCACTAAAATATCACGACCATGAAAGTGATTCCACATAACAAGCAAAGGATACCGACTATCTAAACAAAGTGTCGTTGCAGATCATAAAGCTCTGAGGTCGAGCCATATGATGGGTGACAATCAGAGCCAGTATTTCGCAGCTGCCTTTGACATACCTTCGGTGATGATCATGATCTATTCGGCTCAGCCAGACTTATGACTGAAGAAGGTAATTGACGCAATAGGTGTTGTGAGCATGTAACCCTTCTCCCGCGTATTAGAGGCCCTTGCGATTACTAATATCCTGGGGAGCATATAAGCATTCTGTATGGCGCCACGCGCATAGGGAAAAATCCGTACTTGAGATTGAACATAATTTCCTATGGTGTATTTTCTCTTGGCTTAATGACGTTTAGAGGGGATTCTTACGGGTATTTTTTCATTTAATGACACGAATAAGTACACGGAAGCTTGAAAATTATCGTTTGTTTACTTTGCAACGAACAAATTTAGCTGCAACGTTCTGCACATGGCTTCCTGTTTCAGAGAATAATAAAATTATAAAATCTTTCAAAGTTTTTGTTTATATCAGAAGCAATCTTAAGCTCTTAGATTATACAAACAGTTGAGTTCATGAATTTAATGCAAAACCGAAAACACGATGATTTCGATCCATCTGTAAAGCCATTGTATGCTAGTAACTATATTATTATTATTGCAATTTTGTTACATTCTGTTCTTTTCACATTGCAGAAAATGTTTCCTTTGCAAATGTTATGTTATTTCCATCCTAATGTCCACATCTTTCCCATTTCTAATATTCTGCTACCTTAAACGAAAGAAAAAAGTGCATTCAGTATTGTCTCTGAAATTAATACATGTATATAAAATAAGAAACTCCCTTCTCTGACAAACACTATTTTCATGTAAAGGTACAAAAGATGTTACACAAAATGGGCAATATTCATAAAGTATTATTATTCAATTTAAAATACGTATCTGTATTTCTCTATTCCAAATCTATATTAGTCTAGCTTCAAAAATAAATTTTACTTTTTCAAACTGATTATAAATACTGTGAATTTACTGTGTACTATGTTAGCTTCCAACATCTATTTTGCTATTTTCGAAAACCTAACTCGTCTCATACTTTCGGAGATTGCATCTGCAGAGACTGGATGTATAATAAACATGAAATAATGAATTAAGAATCACACCTTAAATATGAAGGATTTTAAATTAAGAATACATTTATTAAAATTCTGTGCAATTAATACACATTTACGGAGCTAGCGCATGAAGAAATAATACTTTTTCTCTCTAGGAATAAAAATCGCTACATTTTTTATATTAAATTCATCACACTGCAGAGTTGTAAGTAGTAAAATCTCATAGCAACAAAAATACAACGCACGTAATAATATTGTAAGTACTACTATCAAAATGTAAACAAACGGTATGAATGTGTACCATCGAACCCAAGCAAAGTCAAGGCGTTCCTAAGCATAGAGGAAATGATGTCATTGGAAGCCAAATCCAGTCACGAAGGGGGATTTTCCCCTATGTGTGGTACAGAATGCTTATATGCTTCAGGGTACACCAGATCGTAGATAATGTCGAATCAGGGTGGTGCGCCAGCCACTGTGTTGATCGTTCTGTCGTTAATCAACCGCCGCCTTCTTCGACCTGTGTGCTTTGCCACAGTTTTAACCATTCCTGCACGTCATAGATGGGCGCCATTGCTCGAATTAAAATGTCGACCCATCCTTCTATTTGACCAGTATATTTCTGCTAAACTGATTGCACGACTTCTGTAAACTGATGACTGCTCAGTTTATAATATCTTCTTGCTCCCGTATTTCTTCATTGCTTCATTGCTCGTTTTATCATTTAAAAAAAAAGAGATCAAAATATATGAATATATTAAAAGAAACTGTATACTACAACCATATTCATTACGATTTTGCTATATACCATGCATGATTTTGGCAAGTATTAGAAAGCATAGATGTATTCAGATTACTTACGGTGAAATATTAGAGCTTTAGATTTACAAATATGTGTAAAAATGCAAGAAAAAAGAAAAAAATCTCATATTATAACGCATAACACACTATAGTCTACCATGCCCTATACGGCTATGATATAGAACGCATCATTAGGACCTTTAGTACAATACATAGATACAGGAAGACTATTTTCCTGGTGCAAAATCTATGTGTAATAAGCATAGTGTAAATGCTTATAATAATAAATAGTACGACTGTTTCGAAAATATAGATCTTTTGCCCAGTACCTTGTTTCTATAAATCCTTTGAGCAATGCTTTGGTAAAATAAATGTTTTATAGAAATACTTTGATAATGTAAATGCTTTACAGCATAATTTAGTATAATAGACCCGGGGTTCAATCTCACTTAATGATCAATCCGGTTCACGAATAAATTATCTGAATAAAACATGTCTTCGATAACGAACGGTGTCTGGAATCAGGAACACTTAAGTTGGTAAGATGCGACTTTAAAAGGTGTTTTGAAGTATTATATGCCACAATAGGCTCACAGCCATATATATTCAGGAACTTCTTGAAACGTTATTATAATATATTTTTTGTCTAACCCTCATTAGCAAACCCTGGTAGAAAATGACCTAAAAGACATCAATTCGACCTGGAGGAAATTACGGTCAGACTAAGTAGTATGCAGAGACTTTGACAGGTTTGACACTTAGGATTCTTTCGTTATCTATGATACTATGTTTCTAGGAAAAATCATAAGCTCGGAATTTACGAGAGGTAAATATAGTTTAGTAATATAGAAAAAATAAAAATAGTTTATTTGGTTGGCTTGCTTTATCTGATTATGGGAAAGCATTCAAGGACTATCTGCGTAAGAGGAGGGATGCCTCCGTGGAAGACTTTTGTTCGATGTTATGCAAATTGTATTTCTTTCTTTGTACCGAGGAGCGGCGCAGACGCAAATTTGTTAGGTTTTAAAGCTTGCGTTTAGAGCTTTAAGGTTGCTGTGAATTACTGGAGTTTCAACTAAGCAGAGGTTCTTCTGAGTTTGTGTTGGTAAGCCGCTACTGAGTTCGGAGTCTGCAGTGTGGTCTTCGCCGTTCCTCAACTAACTTACTGTTTGAAAGTCAATAAAGAAGTTTCGGTCAACGTTATGATTCTGAGGTTTTTTTGGGTTCTATACTGAAGTAATATCATCAATTTACAGTCCACTATTTTTAACAACGGATCGTTATGTTTTTTGTCCGTCAGCTACGGAGTCGCAGTAAATTTGGTGAGTCAGTGTGTTTTTTTTTTATCTTTCTTATTAGATAATGAAATTACAACGCTTAGACTAAAAAACGTGTAGCTAAAGCTAAGTTAAGTAAACTGAAAGAGAAAATTACAGTGACTTACGATTCTGCTGATGTGATCAGTTAGAAACTTTTTAAATCTAGATTAAATAATGTAATGACCGAACTTTCGGATATTTTAGTAACATATTTGTAGTGTGTGAAAAAAAAGATATTAATGTCTTTATAGAAGAGCAGCAGGTCATATAAGATACTGTTGATGAGCTAATTTTAATGCTAACCAGAGTTAAGAATGCTAAAGATATTAGTGTGGAAATTAAATCTTGTGAAATAGCGAGTATACGCTTACCTAGGCTAACTCTTCCTGTATTTAGTGGCAATGCTGAAGAATGGTTATCATTTTTAGATTTATTTAAAATGGAGATAGTGGATAATGACCGTTTATCAGGTGCACAAAACCTACAATATTTAAAGTGTTCTTTAGAGGGAGATGCTTTGCGGATTGTTCAAGCTTTAACTATTTGTGACTAGAATTTCGAAATAGCGTGGCATTTATTGTGTCAAAGATTTTCACATAGATAGAATTACTTTCATCGTATAAAGAAAATCTTGTATTTTCAAATTTACAAGCTAAATTCCTAGTCCCTATTCGTTAGTAGACACTGTAAGAGTGTGTATGTTCGTTTGAATCTAGGATTCAAAGTTGAGCATTCGAGATACTATTTTAATGTTAAGTACAGTTAAATTGATTCTCGACGAGGGATGGTGGGAAAGAACTTAAAGAGTGAGGAATACCAACACTTAATATCTCTAGATTTCTTTAAATCTATGCCAGAACCTTGCAAGCAGGTAAAACGCAAGTGTTAAAAACAAGTTACAAAGACATTACTTCATTGCTTCATAGATTCGCTCGCAGTGTAGTATTTAAAGCCGGTCATTCGTTTTTAATGTAATAAGTTTTTAATCTGAATGTTCAGAACCGTTAATTTTGTCAAAGAAATAATGTTTGTTTTAATTGCT